AAAAAATATTTTCTTGATTTAACATTTTTAAATAAGGATAGTGCAATACTCTTACATGTTTTGATGTGTAAATGAATACTAGTAGAAAAATGACATTTTATTTAGATTCCACTTAAATTCAAGGTCTTAGTGACCTTAAAATAGGTCGCGACAGACCTTCTACCTAAGAAGGGTACTGGTCAAGTTTGACGATTATGTCTTATATAGTTTTCTAGTTAGGGCCGGAAAAGATTCTACAATATTTGGCAATAACTTTTTAATTAAAGGTCAGAAAGACCTACTTTTTGTGTGCGACACACCTTTTTACCCAAAGTATCAGCTGACAAAGTTTCATAACAAAGTTTTATACTTTTTTAGGTCTTTTCTGTACTACAAAGGTCAAGGTCATATCATGGGTCAAAGGTCAAATTTTGTGATGTCTTCTATTACATATTTTAGCTTTTTTGCCATTGAATTATTTTTATCGCCAAAATATCTGAAACCACTGGTTCAATTTTCTTTATTTTCACACATTTTATTCTAGGACCCATTTGAATCATTCTGTTGATTTTTTGTTTAAACTGAATTATACATTTTATCTTTTAAAAAAAAAACTCAAACCGTCGGATATTTACATGTGAATTTTCAATTCCGACGATACGTATGTTCTATTATTACTTCATATTTTACATGAATTTCCAGCATCAATATTATTAATTGATTTAATTTAAAAAAAAGTTATTTTTAATAATCGGATATTTTTAATCATGCTAGCATTTTGAAGATATCATTCAATCAAAATGTTCCACTAAAGGCATTTACAAAAGGATCGTTCTCTAAAAGGCCGTTTTGCGGTCCACATTGACTTCAAATTTTCAGATAGTATTTTTCCCTTAAATTGCATGAATCACTAAGCTTATGTTCAAATTCAATGATAAATATTGGTTGGTTAATGAAACAATAGTATTTTTAATGATATGGGGTCACAAAGTAAGTTACTATTGGTCCCTATTAGAATTATTGGAAATTCAAGAGGGTGGCTGTGTTAGATAACTTCTAAGCATGTAATAACCACCTTTAACCAACACCAAAATTTACATGTAAATTTCTAATAAATATTAAAACTGACTACTAAATAATGAATTTGGTTAAAGATGGTTATGAAATCCAGATAAAAACTTTTCGCTTCATTTTTACGATATTTGCAGAAAAAACTAACTACCGGTACTCCCAATGAAGGATATCAGCTTATGTATATTATTTCATGATTATTCCATTTTATGAACTTTTGGTTAGAGTTAGAGTCCAATTTTCTATTGTTTAGTAAGATTTATATCAGCCATGCATATTTACTAAAAATAAATGTGAAATTTTTACTTATAAAATCTCAAATCAAAGGACTGAGAAGACTGGATGTCATTAAATTACAAGTGGAGATGTTTCTTTGAAATGTCTGATAAAAAAAAGAAATAAATTTTTTATGGGCTATAGGGTGTGAATATGCGTTGTCTTTTGTATTTATAATGATAGTTTAGTTTATCTTTCTAAGCTACTTCTTTGCATTCCGTTATGAGTATTCCATATATTCTTTGTATTTCCTTATGAGTACTGTATATTTTCTAGAAATTATAAAAGCCATCTTTGTTGAAGCGGTAAAATGTATTTCCTACTTGTGTTATAGATTTTTTTCCTAGGGATGCAGTAGTCCTGTCTTAGAAAATAAATTGGATAGATGGAGAGGGCTTCCTATATGTAATATGTGATTTATAATTGATTGTTGCTTTACTCCATTGAAGGATTTTTCAACCAGATAAAGAGATAATCCACTTAAGGTCAAGTGTTTATGCATAGTTGCACTTTACTGACCGACGCCTAACACGGGACGGGCCCTTTTTTTAAAAAAAAAAGATAATATTATCCTAAAGACCCATGACATTTACTTCAAATGCTAAAGATTTGGGTAGGGAACTGTCACTATCCCGTTAAACAAGTTTTTGACGCTGCACTGGGTAAGACTAAATTTAACCGACAGGTTTAAATAGTGAGAAAGGAGCATCAAACACTTAGAGTCCATTTTGTACCTGGGATGTTATACAACTAGTATATAAGAAAACTTCTGACATGCGTAGTTAAAGGAACTGTTAAAATTCTACTTCATTTTTATGTTGTGTCGTTAGAAACGGGGTGGGGGGGGGGCTCTCAAATCTTATACATGTAAATACATCAACTGTGATACATGTAAATACATCAAGTTTAGTTGATATTTTTAAATAATTTTATCATGCAACACGAGTGATTAAATAAAACCAAAGCCATCTTACGACGATGTTTTATTTCACTTAGAGATGTATATTTTAATGCAACCGCTCTGAGTTACATGTATATGTATTGACAATTTACATGTATGGATAGTCAACATGTACTTACATTGATGTTTTTTTTGCTGTTAATTCTTTAAAAAAAAATTGCAATTGTTGAATTTCTATTCTAAATTACTACTTCAGTTTTATTTCATCACAATCAAAATCCATTTTATGCTTTGATTTGATACATAACTTTTATAGTTCAATTAAAACTTAGAAACCTCATTTCTCGTGGGGATCCGGGTTAAATGGTTGCTTGTCGTAAAAGGCGACTTTTATGGATGAGACCGTATAAACCGAGGCCCCGTGTCACAGCAGGTGTGGCACGATAAAGATCCTTCCCTGCTCAAAGGCCCTAAGTGCCGAGCATAGGCCTTAATTTGCAGCCCTTCACCGGCAATGGTGACGTCTCCATATCAGTGAAATATTCTGGAGAGGGACGTTAAACAATATTCAATCAATTAATCATCTAAAATGGTTATTTTTTGCGTAAAATAAGAAACACATCTATAGAAATGATTAACAATTACAATATCGTTATATATGATATGATACTTTTAATAAAATGCTAATCAAACTTTGTTCAGCACCATACAGTACGTGTTAATTTCGTAAAGATTTACGTTCAAAATATGCAAATGTGGATGCATCGGAATTCTTGTCATAAAAAATATCTTGAACCTTAAATTTAAATCATTATATATTTATATCTTTACATAATTTATGTCTTCCAATTTATTACTTTTGTCTGATGTATTTCCGACATAAATAAACAATTTTTGATCATTTACAATCAGAAACATACAAAGAAACTTGATTTGAATAGACCCTCCCTCAATTTTTCTTTAATTAACAGCCATTTTTTTCTAAATCACGTGACTTAGATGATCGATGTTGAAAAACAAACATCAAAATCATGAACTAAAATAATTATATTTCGTGTTATATAATCACATTTTAAAGTGATTTAATCGTAGGTCGGAAAATGGCATATTTATAGAAAATCTACCTTTTATAATTTTCCAATTAATTGCACCTTAAATTTTACATGGGAGTCTATGGGCGGTTCATGTTTTTATTAGATATTGAAAAAAGCAATTCAAATTTCAAACACATCTCTTGGTGAAAATATGTATAAACTGCCTCTTTATTAAACTATTACATGAAATAAATTATTTACCGCAGAAAGTTTGAGATATCTACAATTTTCTTCTTTTCATTAAGGGCAGATAACTCTTCAAAAACTTTTAACGTGCAAAATCACCATTTCCTTACATGTTATCAGTCTTGTGAATTTTGTTTATTTCAATTTTATCGTTATCTAGCAATGTGTTTTTAACTAGTTTAAAATTATTAGAAATCGTTCAAAATCCCTTATACATTGAATGCCTTAAAAGAATTACACAAATTTGCAATAGATCAATTGATAGTTCTAAAATATGACTCATTCTTAAGTCGATGTCTGATTTCACAATCTTGTTAGAGGGGACTGATATGCCATTTTTCAGACTATGTGGTAAAAAAATGTGTCGTTGAATTTTTTATTCATAGCATAATTATCTAAAGAGAGAGTTTGTATCCAAGAACAAAATAACAAAGTTTCAGAAAAAAATGAATTTTAGAAAAAAAATTGACCTTTCTATTGTGTCCTACCTTAAATATTATGCGCTCGAATCGATAGTTGTCCTGTCTTTCTGTCAGTTTGTTTGTCTGCAAATTCAACCTTCTCCATAACTTTTAAACGATAAAAGGTAGAGACTACAAATTTGGTACATGTATGCATACTTCACTAATTAGGTACTTTCATATGACACCAACGAAAATGACCTTGTGACCTTGACTGTGCCCTTAAAGCTAAAAATATCTTTTTGTCTGCAAACTTTAACGACGACATAACTTTTGAACCATGAAAGATAGATACTTCATATTTGCTATCAATACCCCACTAACAAGGTTCTTTCAAATGACACCAAGGTAAATGACCTGGTGACCTTGACTCTGGCCTATATTCTAAAAATAGTTTTTTTGTACCTTCGCCATAACTCATAACTTTTGAACCATAAGAGATAGAGACTTCATATTTGGTATGCATAACTCACTTATCAAGTTATATATGCTAAAAATAGTTTTTTTTTTTTTTTTTTAGAATTTTCTTGCCGCTAGACGCATAGTGTTTTACAAACACATATTGATTTCTCATGGGTTTGTCTTTATGTCGCTATCTGACTGTTTAGAACATGACCAGTTTGTTTACTGTAAATCACTTTTAATTCGCAAGAACTTTATTTTCGCGTAATAACGCGAGACAGTGTGCTCGCGAAAATTTGATTCTTCCGGATTATAGATTTCTTTAACGACATATTGAACGATAACCACGATTCGCAAAATTTTGTCTCGGCAATTAGGAGTCAATGACTATCTCGCGAAAATAAGGTGTCGCGAAATTTAAGTGATCTACAAAATTCTGAGTATTTTAGCAAGTATTTGGTATCGTTCTTGTCCTCAATATTTCACAATCATCACGACTTGTTAACAATAATTTTCTTTCATATTCCATTAATAAACTACATTTTTTATGATTGTATAATTAGAAATTAAGTTCGGATTGCATATTTACCTTAAACTTAAAAATATTTCTGACTCTGGAGAAATGCTCACCTGAAATATTTGTTTTCCATATGTCGTAATCACCTAGTATATATTCCAAAACACCTACAAAAGAGCAAAATATCGAAATAATATAATAAAAAACATTACAGACATTCCAATAGTCTCATATATATATGAGTATTAAGTAAAACATAAGTACAAAATTTGATCTTGCTTTTCATTTTATTGTCAATTATGCAGTGTGAAATTATGAACTCTTTGTACGCCTTGCTTAGCATTTGGAGTCTTACTGTTGTGATGTAAATGATTAAGATTGATTAAATTGGGATATGGCATGACACAAGTTTGTCACGTTATCATATTTTTAACACCCAAATGGTTTGTTACTGATTGTGCTCCATTTGCCACTTAGATACCCAAGTGCAGAGAATATTTTCATAAAAATTTTGCATTTTAACAACAATAATAAACTGAATTAATTTTTTAAAGCTGTTTTATTATCATAAACCTAATACACTTATTGAAATAACATAGTACAACCCACTTTGTACTGAATTAAGTTTGGTCTAAGCGAAGGACAGTCACGTGGTGAATAAATAGTACGTAAACTGAATGGAGGTCATGAACAAATTTCAATATCGCAAGGGCATACCAGAGTTAAAATTTAAAAAATCCAGGCTATTAATCGTTTCTGCATTTTTTTTTACTTTCTGGAAAGTGCGTTTGCTTTCAGTTTATTAATATGTAATTTGGGTCATGTTGAAAGATCCTTGTCCTCTACCAAGCATTTTATGTCCTCATTAAAAACCCTCTGGATTTAAAGAAAGCAGCAACACTTTTCCAGTTAAGGAAAATATCCTTTAACTATTTTCAAAAAATGGTCAAGATCTATTATGTATATGCCCTTGCAAAAAAGACAATTTGATTTGAAACCTCGATGTTAAACATGTCAAACCTGAACACAAAAAAGGTATAATTATTTAAATACATTATCTCGATAATTAATGAGTAATTATTGATCGAGTAATTGATTGATGAGTATAATAAGCCTATCTTAAATCTGTAATAAATATTTGGTTTAAAATTGAAATACGTTTTTTACTGTTACAAAAAACTACTTTATCTGCCTCACACAGCACATGAATTACGTCATCTTTATCAAAATGACGTCATGTCGACAAGTTCCTTGCGATCAGTGATTGTTTATAACCTGCTATGTAGGATTTAACTAGCAATTTTTTTCAATGCATTAATAAGTGTTAATGGTGTTTATAATGCTAATATAATGTTAAGTTGCAAATTATTTATTTCTGGTATTATGAGGGATAACGTTTGTGTGATATCACAATTAACATTTCCCGTGTAAATTAGCCCTGTCCCGGGCCCTTTTTTAACCTTAAAATGCTGCGAAAGTGACAAGTTTTCACAATATCATCAACAAAGGCTCATCTTAGAAAAACCCCAGACCTTGTAGATTCAAACTTCATTGTTCTGAAAAATACATCGTTGTTAATCATAATTATGTGGAATAATTTGTCTGTTAAATATTCAGATATATAAAAAGAAGATATCTAATGATATCATACAGATGGGTATCCCATAAGCGTAACCGAGTCCAGACACACCGAATTTCAAAAGACAAAGCACCTTTTTAAGCACATAGTAAATATAAGCAATAAACAACAATGTTTGCCAAATTTTCTGGAAATGAAAAGTTGAACAATAAAAAATAAAAAAATATATATTTATTTCCAAGAAAACTTTTATTGTTAATAAAATATCATGTGTTATTCTTAAACAAAAAAACCTCCTATTTAGTGGCATTCACAGGATTTGATCACGTGATCAACCAAAAGTTTATTTCCAAGAAAACTTTTTCAGGTTGTTAATTTCTTAAATGTATGTGTTATTCTTTAAGTAAGAATAAAGTAATATTTAGTACATACAGTAAAGAAAAATAAAAAATCAGAACAGCATCACCGATCATCCCCACCCGCCCGCCCGCATGAAATAATATGACTAACTTTTGCATTTTTTTAAAAACTAGGACATTTACATCTCTCTGTACACAGGCATATTTTTATATTGAATTTTTTTTATGATTTGAAAATTTCCGGACAGGTAAAGTTATGTAAAATTATAGTTTTTTTTTATTAAAAAGGGGTCCATGCATAACTTGGACACTGGTGTTAATCACCATGTTTCCCCCCCCCATACTTTTTGTAGCCCGGTCCAACTCCTTGGAGTTATTTTTGAACAACTTTCAAAAATCTACCCTACAACAGGATGCTTCCATATTAGTTTTAGCTTTTTTTGTTCAGTGCCTTTTGGAAAGAATATTATTTAAAGAAGGTTGGGCCTTATTTGGCCCTACAATATCAAAAATCAAAACCGCTCAGTTTAGGTTGCAAGTGCAGTATTTATTACTTGGAGTGTTGGTGACCAATCTATTAATTGTGACGTAATTTTTCATCTAGTCAATTGATTATGACGTCATCAAATGCGTCATTTTCCTCATATTGTGTAAATTCCTTTGAAAATGGCCTAAAATTGAGGACGTTTTTCAATATTTCATATAGAGAACAACCTCTGATCCAAAATATGCAAATACATAATGAAAGCTCTGTTTCTGAAGATCAAAACACATTTTTTATTTTTTTGGATCGTGGGCTGTGCTCATATCTTAATTCTTTGCTGAAGGTTGTGACATACCATGTTTTCTGCAATTTAAGAACATTGCAATTTCTCAAACCGTTTTTCAATATCTGGTTCTCAAAAATTTTATTATAGAAAATAATAAACAACTACTTTATTTTGACATAAAAAAAAGAGGGTGATAGTTAATTATTTGATATAAAACTTTATATAACTGGCTTTACCTCTTTGTCCTATTAAATCTTATTTTGAAATCTAATAAGGCTTCACAGGATTTGAAATTTCCGGGATTTTCACAAAAGTTTATTTCCTAAGAAAACTTTTTCAGGTTGTTAATTTCTTAAATGTATGTGTTATTCTTTAAGTAAGAATAAAGTAATATTTAGTACATACAGTAAAGAAAAATAAAAAGAACAGCATCACCGATCATCCCCCACCTGCCCGCCCGCATGCAAATGATATGACTAACCTTTGCATTTTTTTTTCAAATGCTTTTTTAAAAACTTGGATTTTTTTATTTCGTTTTCACCCATATTTAAAGTCTAAATACTTTTCGTCCCTCTGTATTTAAAGGCATATTTTTATCATTAATTGTTTTTTTATGATTTGAAAATTTCCCGACAGGTAAGGTTATGTGAAATTATAGAGATTTTTTTTTTATTGAAAAGAGGTCCATGCGTAACTTGGACACTGCTGTTCCTCACCATGTTTCCCCCTTGTTATACTTTTTGTAGCCCGGTTCTACTCCTTGGAGTTATTATTTGAACAACTTTTAAAAATCTACCCTACAACAGGACGCTTCCACATTAGTTTTAGCTTTTTTGGTCCAGTGCCTTTTGGAAAGAATATTATTTAAAATTTGTCCTATTTTTTCAATGTAAAATTTTGAATTGACATTGAGACCCCATCCATCCCCCGATTTAGAATTTAGAATCGTTACGAAATCAAGAGATTTCCACATATAAGTTACATTTCACTAGCTCAGTAGCTTTTGATAAGATTTCAAAAGATTTTTCATTTTCTATCTTGTATATTTTAATTTAAAACTATTCTAAAACCTACCCCCGCGATTTAAATAATTCATATTCTACAGTACTCCAGGAGGCTTCCATATAAGATTCATCTTTACTGCTCCAATAGTTCTTTAAAAGATTTTTAATGACACTTTTTTTTTGTTTTTTCCCAAAAAGTCTCCCTAGGAAGTGGTCATGCCGCTTCATTTTATGTATTCTAATTTTCCTTTGCCTAAGGATGTTTTGAACCAATTAATGGATAATATTGGTCCAGTGGTTCTTGAAAAGAAGTTAAGAAATGTTCTTGTATAATGAAATTTCTTTACCCCAACCCCCTTCTTTGTTTTAAAGCAAGTCGTCAATCCTTTTATATCTATGGAATATACAGATATATCTCTCTATCTCTCTTTCTTTATCTCTAAATAAATATGCATAAAATATAATATATCCTATGATTATATTTACCAGCCTCTTTACCTTTTATTTTCTTTCCTTCTGGTTTATTAACATTAGCCTTCGTGTTACCATGGCTTCTTTTTTCTGATTTAGTATTGATATCATCGTGCTCTTTTTCCTCTGGTTCACTATTGATTCCAATATTTTGTAAACCAGAAACTGTTTCTTCTGGTTTACTATTTTCATCTGTTTCTATGTCACAATGGGATATATTCCCAGGTTTACTATTAACGCCAGCCTCTTTGACACCGTAGATTTTTTCCTCTGGATTACTTTTAACGCCAGCCTCTGTGACATCATTGGTTTTTTTCTCTTGTTTACTACTTATATCAGCTTCTATGGCCTCATAGACTTTCTTTGCTACATTAGTCTTTGTGAAAACGTGCTTCCCCTCCTCTAGTTCGCCTGTTTCTGATATCCTTTCTCCTTCAAAATGAAATGAAATCTTCTCACATTTCCTTTTGAAGTTGAGAAACAGTTTCGTTTTTAAATTGATTATTTAATAATATACTTTGGTAAAACTTAATCTATTCCGGGTATAGGTGTTATGGTTTTTTACTGTGAAGATATCTAATTTAATCAATTCACAACACATACGAGGGGTGATCAAAGAGTTCGCAAACTAACTGAATAACTTCCATAAAAGAAACAACATTTGGTTTCAGTGTCGAAAATATTTAAAATTAGTCCTCTCCAATTATGCACGAATCACGTGATATAGGCGGTCACTGACCCTCTCTGTAGATGTAGGTCATCACAAAAGCTGAAAGATTTTTCTGAATTTTATATTTCTTTCCATGTAAATTAATTTTTATAACAATAACAGTTCATTTGTCAGAAATGGTCAATTCTCGGCAACAGAATGGGTGGATAATAATATCCTTTCCAAATATATAGGTATGGCGACCATCAAAACCCAAATCTTCTGCCTTTGGATAGACATTTATTCAAAGTGCCAGATAGAGAATGGGTGCCTCCTTTTTATCATGCCTAATATGTGTAAAATTTAAAGTAAAAAATATATTTGGTATTTAATAATTATACTATTGTTGAAGTATTCAACTGTTTTTTAAAAGTGTAAATTGTAGGTCTTTGTTAGCAAATTCCTTAATTAACAAGAGGCCCATGGGCCTCATAGGTCAACTGAGTATCATGAAACAACTTTCCAAATATTTAATTTGGTTATCTTTTAAACCAGATGCATGAAATTCACAATTTCGAAAGACGCACCATTGCTTATCATAATGATATACTTAGAATGCAACTTTAGGTTCTTAATACCCAGAGTTAGATCAAAAAAAGAAAGAGAAAATGCATTTTCACTTTAAAACCAGTGGTTCACTCCATAGGGATCACATACCCTGGGGCCTTATATTTCAAAATTTGGGAAATTTTATCATAAATTTTATTTCATCATAAATGGTTGATTAGTACCACAGAGCAGAGTTCAAAGCATTTAGTTATCTTCAGACTATGTACTGTTACCCCCACCCCCCTTCCCGATACCCCTGACCCAGAGAACATGAAATTAATAAATTTGCTAGGTGCACCTTTCTTTATCATAAATATATGTACTAAGATCATTCAGATAATACCTAGCAGCAATGGGAAAGATTTTCAAAGAACTCATGCATTCCCCATATATAATCATTAGAGCCCCACCCTTACACCAGAACCCCCGACCCAGGGGCCATTAACTTCACAGTTTTGGAGGAAGCATCCTTCCTTATTATAACTATGTATATAGTTCATTGGTTTAATACCCAGGAGCAGAGAAGAAGACTTTTGAAGAAACAATGTATTTTCACTATATAATCAATAAAGCCTCACCCTAACATCACAACCCCCAACCCAGGGACCACAAAATTCACAATTTTGGAAGAAACACTTTTGCTCATCATAACTATGTACTTAGTTAGCTTCTTTAATACCGAGGAGCAGAGAACAAGATTTTTGAAGAATTAATGTTCTTTTACTATACAATCGAGCCCCGCCAAAACACCTAAACCCCAGACCCTTGGGCCATGGAATTCACAATTATTGAAGAGGCATTCTTGGTCATCATAACTATGTTCTTAGTTGGTTTATTTAATACCAAGGAGCAGAGAAGAAGATTTTCAAAGAAATAATGCACTTTTACTATATGATCTATATAGCCCCACCCTAACACCAGAACCACTGACCCAGGGGCTATGAATTTCACAATTTTTGAAGAGGCACTCTTGTTTATCATAACTATGTACTTAGTTTATTTAATACCCAAGAGCAGAGGAAATTTTCAAAGAAATAATGCACATTTACTATATGATCTATATAGCCCCGCCCTAACACCACAACCCCTGACCCAGGGGCCATGGATTTCACAATTTTGGTAGAGGACTCAATGCTGATTACAATTATGTCAACAGTTTGACTGCTTGATGTCCAGGAGAAAAGAAGATTTTTAAAGAGTGCATTAATTTTAGTGGTTTTGGCCCCATCCCTCAGGCCCCAGAGGAGCAGGGACCAATAAATTCACAATTTTAGATCCCCTTCACCCACAGATGCTGTAGGCCAAATTTGGTTGAAATTGGTTATGAAGTTCCAGAGAAGAAGTTAAAAATGTTCAAAAGTTTACGAACGATGTACGACGACGGACGAAAACAGATAGCAATAGGTTTATTTAATACCAAGGAGTATTTTTGAAGAGGCACTCAGGTGTAAACTCAGGTGACCTAAAAACACATTCTCTTTCTAACTTGATTTCACTGGGCAACATAACAAGTATCATTTTAACCATCTGCCTTCCTTTACTAAAACGATCAATCCAATCATTGATTGATTTTATAGGAAGTCATTTATCTTAACTGTGTACAAATTATTATACTGTGATTCAAAGGGATTTCTAAGATATACCATAAATTTTATGTTAAACAAGTACGACTGAGACAACCATTTTTCGTCACAATTGACCTACATAGTGTCGTCATTTTCATATAATGACGTCACAAACAAGGACCAAAACTTTATAAAGCATATGCTATTTATAGAACTTGTGTATGGCTATGTGTGTACCATTTTTTTTTCTTAACCGAAAGGTGGTTATATAGATATAGAGATAGATCGCGAACTTTTTGATCACCCCTCGTATAAAGAATAATGTTTGAATTATTATACTTTTAATTTTTTGTACACTAACTATACACTACTGTATCATTTTAAATTTTATGCACAACTATGATATGTGATATTTCTCTTTACCTCCATCTCCAGTAGTATTAGTTGATAGCAATGGAGCACTACATGAAAATTCATGAACGCTATCGGTGTATTTTTCATTTATGTCACACTCAGGGCCACATTCCCTTTTTCCTGAAAAATATTTTGTCTTTACAATAATAATACATTCATCTTATTTAAATACCATATGTTGTTCTATAAACATTTTACGCTATATCTATTTAAACATATGCGTACTTTAAACGTGCTTTTATTATAATGTCATTTTATGCGATACGGTCAGGAGAGTATCGACGTACGCAAAGTAAGTCTGGTTTTGAAATCCCCAGTTTTTGTTATAAAACACACAAAGAGGTAATCCAAAAATTATATTATAAACTTTTTTTTCAAATCTCAACTTTATTTTGTTATGCAAAAAAAAATTTAAAATAAGATACCTTTATTAAAAATACCGTCTACATTACATTTTAGAGTACATGTATGTATCATTTCGTGAAAGGGTTGCTAAAAATGAAAGAGACACTTAACAGAATAAATATATCATTAAGTTAATGACATTAACCCATTCTATATGTTTTTACCCATTAGGTTATTGTTTGATCAAATAATCCCTGGCTTCTTGATTGTCCGAGATATGAAAAATCAACTATGTTGTATTCCTCTCTCTTTGGTTTAGCAGGTAAACATAAGAATTCATTTTTTTACAATAAACAACAATAAAAATTTAATGAATCGAAAATTTCCAATTAATGCAAAATATTTCTACCTGTCTCACTAAGGGGAACGTAACATTCATGATTTTCGAAACGGTGTGGAGTGGGTAGTAGGTACATGCTGGGGTTACGTTGGAGAGACATCCATTTGATTTGATCCATAAATCAAATAACAAGCCTATTTGAACTTGTTGAATACTGTACATCGAAGGTGGCTAAATTATTTTATTGACCCCCAAAAGCAACGGTTAGTAATTAAAAAAAAATGTTATTTCTTCATTGCATTATTAAATTCAAATAAAGCAATGTATACCTGAATTTAGTTTTTTTTTTGTCTTACTTTTCCACGTATGTTTTCTTCTCCATAGAAGAACTCCTAGGAACAAGAGGAGGAGGACAATCACTCCAGCACACACTCCTCCTCCTATTGCACCAATGTTGGCGGAGTCGTACTCCTGGATTTGGCTGTTTGATTATTTATTGTCGTAGTGTTAAACACGCCAAGATCTAAGCTATGTGTTCTGTTTGAAAAACATAATTGGATCACAATGCTAACTTCATAGTTACATACATATGAAAGCACATTTGATTTATGTGGTTCCCGTACTTACGTTATTGAACACGAAGGATCGGCAAGATAGCATTGGTATTGTGTGTTAATTTGTTGACAAGCAGGATCTAAATCAATTGCAATGAAGATAAAATATTTTTATATATTAGGTAAAAGTAATGTTGCTACCAAACTGTAACGATATATGTAAAGTAATCGTTGTTCTTACAATTGTAATTCTCATTGCTCCTGTAAGGATCATCTGGACAGCCTTCTAAAAACCCTGAGCAGTTACTTTGAAAGAGTTTTCTCTCCGTCGTCTCCAAACAGTATCCTTAAAACAATTAACCGATTTTTCTCAATGATGATAAGACTGTTTTGAGTGTAAGAATAAGATTTAGACTCTTTATGTTTGTTTAGGTTTTTACCTTTGTTACATGTGTAAAGGGGATTAAATATTTGCTATTGACTTTTGAATTAATTTATTACAAAATCATTGATCTTTGATTAACAAAAACTTTTTGTTGCTTACCTCTTTGTATTATACCCATAATTCCATCGTGACATAATTCTACCAGACCACTTTTCTCTATGTTCGGGAGACATATATACTGATCATTACCATACTTATCACGACCACAACCAAGTCTTGTAGAGGCATTTATAGCTTCTGTGAGGTTTTGAGGACAAGAGTCGACAAAACCCTCCATAGTTGCACAGGAAATAAAGTCTATAAAACCTAATTGTATAATTAAATATTATTTTAAAACATGCAAAAGTAGCATGAAATGAAAATTTAATAATATTGTTTTAAAGTGATAAAAATAACATCGATGATAAGTTAGGATTCCTTCTGCCCCATTGTCTCAAAACAGAAAACAAATAAACAAAATTTTAAAAATTTCATTCATGTAAATAAAAGATAAGTTAAAGATATCTAAAAAGCGCTATTTCGTATATATTTTAATTCCCTTTGTCTTAAAAATGTTATAAAGTAATTCAATGTACAATGAGGAGATATTGAACAATTTAGAATTCTTTTAACCAGTTAAATATGTATTCATTCACTAGATTAATATGAAAATGAATCTAATTCATGTGACGGCAAAAGTCTTGAAGCCGGTCATTTTGCTCTATAATCTTTTTTTAAGATTTAAAAAAAAATAACTTTGTCAAAATACCTTGTATTCTGCTTCATTTTATTTAATATTCTCAAAAAGAGATTATTCTAAAAGAGAGTTTGTGTATATTTGCACAAGACCTTTCTAGATAGAAAAATTTTGTTTTACAATTTTAAACACCCTCAAAACGATACAGTGATTAACTAAAGGACAATTAATTAATTCATTTGAGTTCCATATTAAATTTTGTATTTTAAATCATTTTTACTGAAATTAAATGATTGAATGAAACTTGGAGATAAGGTATAGCTAGCTAACATGTATACACCTTGAAAACTGTCATTTCTGGACTACATCTTAACAGAACATATGTGAAAAGATGTACGGAAGCTTTGGGTTTGAATCAAGCACATGCATGCACGAAAACAAAATTTAAAATATACTAGTATTAACTTTTCTAATAAATATCGGTTAAAATCAAAATATTTCTCATAATTTTTTATATTTTTGAAAACTTTAATCATTATTTTCTAAAACGTCAATGCTTATTTTAATTATAACATCGATGCATGTATGTCGTCTAAAAACGTCCTTTATTTGATATGGAGAATTACATAAATAAAAAAAAGTGTATACGATGAGATCCACATGACTATCTCAAAATAGATTTTTTTTTACTTTTTAAAACATATTTTTCACTGAGATCACCATATATATTGTAAATGCATTATAGTTAAAATTCGAGTAGAATTTCTTTTTTAAAAATCATTACATCGTAGTGATATAGACTTTGTTCAGTACATAATCCAAAGAAGTATTAGTGTTTGATGCCTCAAGTTAGTATCTTGAGTATCAATAACTTAACCGACTTTCTTCTCTTGTTCAATGTTAAAAGATGGCTTTTAATTGTTATTTGACTGCAGTAAAATTTAAAACCATATAAATTAAAATAATCAAAAAGTTTTGACAAAATCAAGTGGTAACAATTTTTACAATATCTATAGTCCAACACTTCATATTAAAACAAATATAAGATTTTTATTTGCCATTATCCCCTTGTTACAACCACTATTGAAATAACGACCACTATTGAAATAATTATATCAATAGTGGTTGAGAGTGCATATCAATAGCAAACATAGTTCATAACCCTTATTGAAATACGACCACTATTGAAATAATTATATCAAGAGTGGTTGAGGGTGCATATCAATAGCAGATATAGCTCGTAACCACTATTGAAATACGACCACAATTGAAATATTTATATCAATAGTGGTTGAGGGTGCATATCAATAACAACATAGTTCGTAGCCACTATTGAAATACGACCACTATTGAAATAATTATATCAATAGTGGTTGAGAGTGCATTTCAATAATAAACATAGCTAGTAACCACTATTGAAATACGACCACTATTTAAATAATCATTTCAATAGTGGTTGAAAATGTATTTCAATAACCATAGTTTTCAGCAACTATTCAAATAATGTTCACTTTTGAAATACAAAAATCAATCTGCCACTGTCGATTTATTGTTGTTTTACGTCATTCGGCCGGAGACGTCACCATATACCGGTGAAGTTTGACCTTTACCCGGCAATCAAGGCCATTCAGCAGTGAGAGATCTTTACTGTGCCAATGCCTGTTATGACGAGGAACCTTGCAACTATCAAAATAATTATTTAAATCACTTTAAATCATTATTTCAATAACTATCTAAATCTTCATGTAACAACTGATGATGAATGCAAAAATATGGATGCCGGGGTTTGTGTATCTTTTAGGTCTGATTTCATTGAAAATGGTAAATTAATAATACATAGTACACCTGGTCAATAGGGCATATATGCCACTTTAATGACAAAATTGAGATACAATATAATAAAGAATATTATAAATTTCTAGAGTATAAAGAAATTATCCTTATTAAGTTATACATTTTTAATTTTTTATCAACATTTATACATTTTTTTTTCTCCCAATCCAATTTTTTTTGAAATCTTAGTAAAAATTTCAAAATTACGCGGTAACTCTCTTCTATCAATAAGACAATGGCTGATGAAACTATTGTTCTTATATTGAAATGCATTTTCACCAACTATTGGTATTATTATTTCAATAGTGGCCGTATTTCAATGGTGGTTATGAACTACGTTTGCTATTGATATGCATCCTCAACCACTATTGATATAATTATTTCAATAGTGGTCGTATTTCAATAGTGGTTACGAACTACATGTATGTTTGCTATTGATATGCATCCTCAACCACTATTGATATACATTGCATGAAAAGTTGGGTTTAATTTTACCTTAAATGCGATTTAAATGCTGCGATTATTTAATGTTTAAAGGCATAAAATAACATATTGTGGGATCGTAAATGTTAGAAATTAATTAGCATTTAATACGAGTTTAATGAAACATTAAAAGAACAAATTTAATAAAGTTTGGAAAATTGTTTACTTACTTATAGGTTCGGATTTAAGTCTGCGGTAAACAAATATTATACCTCTAATAAACAAAACGTATTATTATTATTAAACATGCGAATAAAATAAAGTTTTATGGTCATATTCAATTTGTTCGTTTAATGAAATTTAACGTAGATCTTTACCTCATTATTTTTTGTTAAATTTACACTTTACTTTATAATACTTCCAAAAATTAAGTTATATACGGAAAAATGTAAACTTACTAAAACGTTCAAATATTATTCTTTCATAAACTAATATTAAATCTCTTTTATATGTGATGAAAATGTACTGATTATTTCAATAGTGGTCGTTATTTCAATAGTGGTTGCAACATCCCCTGAATTGCTCCCTGTTTAAGATAGCCAGTTAAGGTTTCGTCAAAGGTTAACGTGTCTATAAAAAAAATTTTACAATAGCTCAAAAAATTTGTTGTATAAAGTCGAAACGTTTACAGTTTATAAATACATGTATATCACTGATTAATAGATAGAAAGTATCACGTGATAACAAATATTAAAAAAGAAGATTTTTGGAGAAAAATTGTATCAGAAAATGCGTATGTTTCAAAAAAAGTGCACCTGTTTTATTCTGTCCTTTTTGTGAAAACCATAATTGCAGAAATAATAAATGTTTATCATTGAAGGGCAAGTTGGGTCTCTGAGAGGCTGTTACTGAAAACATGACATGTATAAAGACAAGACCCCTATACAATCCGCATTTGCAATATACTTTCACTTTTAAGTCTTAACATTTGGAAAAAATAAACAGGGAAAATAATTTTCCAGAGACTATCCAAGTTCAACTTGCCCTTCATTGTTAAACATATTTCATTTGTTTATGCAATGATGGTTTTCTGTGAGTGAGTGAGTGAGTGAGTGAGTGAGTGAGTGACTAAGAGCACAGAATTAATTAGATGTATTATTTTTTTTAAATATATGCATTTTAAGAAGAATTTTTTCAATTAATATTTTTTCCAAGTATTCTTTTTATCAAGTGATACTTTCTATCTGTAAATCAATGAAAATTTGATAAACTGTAAAAGTATTAATTTAACTTTATACCTCATATAGTTTTGGGGCTATTGTAAAAATAAATCTTTTAACATGTTGACTTCTGACGAAACCTTAAAAATTATATATCTAGAAAGTAGAATTAATAGTATATTTTCTCTCAAGGGAGCAAAAAATATTCTATCCATCAATTATTTCATTTTGGTTTATTTATTCTGCAGATATTCCAACGAATTTGTTGTACTCCTGAATAAGAGCATGCCAGTCTTTAAAGCAGAATCTTAAAGCAAAATGTACTCAGAACGTCTTGCTGTCTCAATAAAGTTAAAATGGAGTTAATTTAATTTGATGACAATTTAATGTTGTTTTTTTTTACCTTCATAAAAAAACAGAACATAAAAATACATCAGAATTGATGAAATTAAATAAGAAAAGGATTTTGATGATGAATGTAATAATGTCACTAATTAAAAACTAGACATATTTTATCATTAAAGAATATTATTGCATGAACATGTCTTGTTATCAAATATATCTTAAATCTTTAAAATGTATTGCACTCCTGACCATACATAGACGTCGGAACCGTGGGGGGAGGGGGGGGTAATCCCCCCCCCCACTTTTTGCAAATATATACATAGTATAGGCATAGAAAAATGGAATTTAACTTCTTGTTAATCCCCCCCCCCTCTTCCACTTTCAATTACCCCCCCCCTCCCCAACTTTCAATTATGCATGGGACTTTAGGTCTAAAGCACAATCAGATTCTTGATAAAATGTTCTTTAATTGTGTTTATTTCCAAAATAAAATTCAGAGGATCTAACACTGATAAAGATTTTCCATGCTGAGGAGAAAACATCACATGTTGAAATTGGATCTATTTATTTGTTACACTGTATGTACTTGACTCCTATTAGTATATGATGTTGTTTTTAATGAATCAACAATATTGAAACAATATAATTCAGATCATTCAGATCAGAAAATTGAAAACGTATACATCTACGTCAAAAATCATTGTATTGTCAGTCTTTGTCCAGTGATTTGTGCAGAGTAAACACCCAGTAAATAGTAAATATTAACAATTGTACAGAAGTTCATGGTTAATTTGACCTTATAAAGAATGTCCTTGTTATTGAATTTTCTGTATGTTCTTGTTACTTTAACGTATTCATTTAACTGAGATTATTTTTTAAATTAAAATCGTAAATAAAACAGCAATTTGTCCATATATTTATTTTTTTGTGAGATAAACACAAGTTATATTGAGTCCGCTATCAAATCTTCCCCATATCATGATTAGACATAATATTCTTTTCTGAAAATGTAAGCAACGCTGCATACTTCATACTATTTTCGATTTGAATCTAATGCTATTCTACATGTTCTAGTTAATGAAAATCAAAACAAAAAAGTGATATTTGGAGCAGAGGGGATATTTTACCTTAAAACGAAACTAGATTTTTTTTAAATATATGAAAAATGTCTTTCTTTCAGAAAAAAATAATTCAGATCCGTGTAATATTTTACCTCTGGTAATATTTTCTCTACATCTCTGAAATCAGGTCCTTTAGTTAACCGTCATCTGAGAGGTAATTAATGCTTCCCATACCTTCTATGGCGTCCCTCTAAGACCTTCACCTTTTCTTTAAATAGCCAGGTATCTGTATAAAGTGCACACGTATTTAAATGGCTTTTAAAATTGTTTTTATCATGTGGATCCCCAAATAGAAGATGCTTATAAAGCTGTGCTATTTTTCGCATTTTCTGATAATATATTTCAGATTTCATTATTTTCCTAATTAAATCAGGGGCGGATACAGGATTTGGTGTTAGGGGGGGTGGATAACTTTGTTGAGGCAAGGGGTCTGGGGGCCGCCTTAAGGCCCCCAGTGGGTCCAGGGCGAAGGGGGCGAAGCCCCCGGAAGCTCCTGGGTTTTCATGTATTTTAGAGTAAAACCAGGCACTATAATAGTGCATATTTTTCAATCTTTTTTTTGTTAAAAGTGGCATATAGGTTCGCGGATGTTTGAATGATAATATTGTATTGAATGTTTCTCAGTTCTCATAGTATTGTAACACATGCCAGCATACAAACGATTTACTTAGTATTTACTAATAGTGCATGGTATTGGTTAGTGATGTACCAAAGTACGCTGTGTTCAATACTAGTTAAATCATACTTTGAATGGGGGGACCATGGGGCGCAGCCCCCAGAAGCTCCTGGATTTTTGTGTATTCTAAGAGTAATATCAGGCAGAATAACTGTGGTTTGGTTGCTTTTGTACCAAAATGTGACATTATAAATATTAGTCACATCATACTTTGAAAATTTTAGGGGGGGAGGGGGGAGGGGGCGTGCGCCCCCCACGCCCCCCCCCCCCCTTAAATCCGCCAGTGTAGATAATGTGATTAACTTAGAGAATGAACTTTTAATTTTTAAGAAATGTTATATATAGATATATATATATGCTAGTTAAAAAATATAATACATTTTTGTGAGCATTTTAAATAAAAAAAAAATGTTTATCTTTCCATTTTGATGTAAAAAGTATTAATTTTTTTAATGGAATAAACCTGGATATAAATGGGAATTTTAATTTACACATTCCCTAATTTTGGAATGACAAGGATGCCCAGGTATGTGACATATCGTCAAGGATTTCCTGTCCATCCATCCTACATCACCTCTTTCCAAATATGATTAATCAATGCATGTCATTCTTGCCTGAAAAAAAATATATTAACCAAGTGTATCGGTCATTAGAATGTTAAAAATGCGGCCAGAAATCTGCTACACCCTTATAACAGACTTTTTTGATGAGTATTAAATATGTAGCCTATCGAGGTACATGCATACACAAACAATGCATGCACATGTAAATTTCGCTTTGTTTTTTTTTAATCATCGGGTTCGAAATGCCAAAAATGTTGAATCACTGTAAATAATCGAAGCTGCTGGCGAAGCTTCGAAACGCCAAAATTATTATTTTGCGTCGAAATAAAAGTAAGTATTTATCAAGAAAACCATATAAGGCATGCAAGTGATTTTCTTATAGGCCTAACTGCAATAATGTAGCCCCTTCCGATTCTGATTTGATAAGGAGAGATCGAGAGCTAACAACGTTAGTCTGTTAGTAACGTTATCTGATTATAACAGGTCCGGCACAATCTCTTGATTAAGCTATATAGCTTTAAAAAGCTATATAGCTTTATAAAGCTATTCAAAATAGCTTGATAAAGCTATTTATATGCAATTTTTCACAAAAACGTATTTTTAAAGAAATAAACAAAAAGTCGCAAATATTTGACTATTCATATATGTACGCTGGGGTCCTATGGTATCGCGGTAGTTAACCTAGTTTGTAAAAATATCTACCATACCTGGGATATTTCAAGAAAGTAATATCATTTTCAGTTTCTTCTATTATTTATCTATATTTATTGTTCTGATGTTGAATTTTCATCTTGTTGTTTATTTACTAGGAGCTATCGAAAAGAAGTACCACTGTTTACCTTACTACGCGAAAGAGTTCTATGGTATCGCGGTATCCGGTTGACACTAGACTAAGGCGGCCTTGTAGTGTCATATTTGAAAAAAAATAAAAGTGCAATTTAACTATGATATGCCTATAATTTAATGACTTTGTTGTAATTAAACTTTTATGATATTGTACTTCAAAGTGAAATAAAAGATTATCAACCATTGAAGTATATGTAGATTTAAGAATGGGGGGGGGGGTTAGAAATACTGTACTTCCCCTTCCACCCACTTGTACATTGAAGTGGAGATATTATTTATTATGCCCCCCTTCGAAGAAGGGAGGGCATATTGCTTTGCTGCTGTCCGTCGGTCTGTCGGTCGGTCGGTCGGTCTGTCGGTCCATTTAGTTTCCGTTCATTTTCTTTACAACCGCTGCATATACTGAAATGAAATTTGGTATACAGGTTTATCAGGTAAATATCTAGGTCAAGTTCTGTTTTGGGTACGATCACACCATTTTTGACAGAGTTATGCCCCTTGGACTTAGAAAAATTCCATTTATTTGCAGTTTCCGTTCATTTTCTTTGCAGAGGTTGCACATATTGAAATGAAATTTAGTATACAGATGTTTCAGCTGAATATCTAGGTCGAGTTCTGTTTTGGGTTTGATCGCACCTTTTTTGATAGAGTTATGCCCCTTGGACTTATAAAAATTCCACTTATTTGCCGTTTCCATTCATTTTCTTTGCAGAGGTTGCACATATTCAAATGAAATTTAGTATACGGATGTTTCAGCTGAATATCTAGGACAAGTTCTGTTTTGGGTTCGATCACAACCTTTTTGTCAGAGTTATGCCCCTTTGACTTAGAAAAATTCCAATTATTTGCAGTTTCCGTTCATTTTCTTTGCAGAGGTTGCACATAATGAAATAAAATTTAGTATACAGATTTTTCAGCTGAATATCTAAGTCAAGTTTTGTTTTGGGTACGATTGCACCATTTTAGACAGAGTTATGCACTTTTGGACTTAGGAAAAATCCAATTTGGGGGGAGGGGGGCATAAGTGTTTTACAAACATCTCTTGTTTTCTTACTAATAGGATTTTATCCCTTGTTTTAACTATTATAGGGTATTTAAGAACAAAATAGATTATAGTTGCTTTATAGACAGACATTCTTCATTTACAAACATCACATGTTCTCTCCAGACATGCAAAACTCTATTGAAGTCTTTATAATAATATCTCTCTTTCTTTTTACACTCAAAAATTAGGATATAAAAAGTAGTAGGTAAATTTTGATACAATGTACAATAATCTTTTTTTTTTTAATATAAAAAATGCAATAAAGAGAAAATTGACACAAATATTTAAATAGAAAATAAAAAAAATTAAAAGTAACAAATTGTAAATATTTAACAAGTATCTATCGGTTTGATATTTTTCCTGAATTTAAAAAACCCTGCTGATTTTTTTTTTAATTTTTATTGGTTTAACTTTGAATTTTTAATTCTTTAACATATTTGTTTCTCTAGTGAAAAATATTTTTATAAAAAAAGAAAAGAAATCTATGTTTGATAAATAATTCGTAATGTCTCAGCTCGAACTGCAGTGTTCAATTTTTTTTTACCAGCGAAATTTTTGTTAATTTTTTACAAGAACTGTTTTCCATACTTTTTATTTTTTTTCCACGTCCATAAAAGGAAAACACGTGATCTCCGAAGCCTCGTTTTCATAGTAAACACCAAACTACAGCATGTTCCGATTGAACTTTGTTATCTTAGTTTTTTCATCGTTTTCATATTGGTATATATCACGTAGTTTTCGTAAAATTTATCAACGTCGACCAAAGTGCGAAAATATTACAGAAATGAAGTTAACAAATCAAAGGATGCGAAATTCTGCTAAAAAAATTGTCAGGGAATTCAACATAGCTATGTTTACAATGTCTAAAAATATCGGGCTATCACGTGTCGTTTTCAGCGCGTGCCAGCTCATAAACAGAAATACCGCGATACCATAGAACCCGCGACATCATAGGAAGGGAGTATACTATGGACTATCAAAAATACAACCTAAATCATAGAAAGTTCTAACATTGCTGCTGTTTAATACTTTTAAGCAAAATTTGAATTTCTATTGTTTGAGTAACTGTGTGTTCTGTGAGGCGTGGGTAATTATGATTGCTTCTCATTGTGCTGAACTGTTACTAATCAATTATCCTGTTGGCTATAACTGGCCTCATTTATAATTTTATTCAAGAAATAACTGTGTGGTCACTCATCAATAGCCCCAAAACTTTTAAAACTTTGAGTACAAAGTCTCTCAAGGAGACGCAATTTGGTGAGTATTTTTAACATGCATTGTATCTAAAAGAGTACAAAGTTTAATATTTCCGCTGCACCATGGTGCGACTTTTTGCACATGTTGAAAAAATAAAACATTTGAGAAAGAAGTCTGAGAAAATAGCTTAATCAAGCTATTCAGAATAGCTTAATAAAGCTATATAGCTAAATCAAGCTATATAGCTTAATCAAGTAGATATGGCAAGAAATTGGTACTGCGTTTTTAGGTGATACTTTTGTACCCTAGGGTACACCCTTATTAAATGTATGGAGAAAAGGTTACAAAAAGGGTACACTATTTATTCCTACTGAAAACGAAAGTAGATGCTTCCCAGTGGAAGGAAGACTGTAACATCTATATAAGTAAAATTAAAAATAATGTAGCCGATGCTCAGGGTACAGTGGGTACAAAGGGTACACATGGGTACAGCAGGTTACAGCACTATAAGAAATGGATACAAGGGTTTAGAAGGCTGAAATTTTCTAAGTTAAAATTTAAAATAATGGAGCCGATGCTCAGGGTACAGTGGGTACAAAGGGTACACATGGGTACAGCAGGTTACAACACTATAAGAAATGGATACAAGGGTTAAGAAGGCTGAAATTTTCTAAGTTAAAATTAAAAATTATGGAGCCGATGCTCAGGGTACAGTGGGTACAAAGGGTACACATGGGTACAGCAGGTTACAACACAATAAGAAATGGATACAAGGGTTAAGAAGGCTGAAATTTTCTAAGTTAAAATTAAAAATTATGGATCTGATGCTCAGGGTACAGTGGGTACAAAGGGTACACATGGGTACAGCAGGTTACAACACTATAAGAAATGGATACAAGGGTTTAGAAGGCTGAAATTCTCTAAGTTAAAATTAAAAATAATGTAGCCGATGCTCAGGGTACAGTGGGTACAAAGGGTACACATGGGTACAGCAGGTTACAACTCTATAAGAAACAGATACAACGCTTTAGAAGGCTTAAATTTTTTCACTTTTTTTTTGTGTTATTAATAACTTAAATTTAATTCTTATGTTTGTAAACTGTCATTATTGGTCGACATATATGTACAATACTGATATGCGTATCACATGAACATCGCTCTCTCTTGTTTTTTTTTTAACATATATTCTGAATGGCTTAAGGAAAAATGCCACACCATTTTATATGTATATATTTTTTTTGTAAAACTTATAATTGTAATAAAATGTTATTTACATGCCATAGGTGCTTGATGTTTTAAACTTAAGGGGGGACCTATATCCGAAAAGTCTTTGTGGGAAATTTCCAAAACTTTGACATTTCTTTCCTGACCACTTGATCTTAATTTTTAGGTATTAAAAACAATACCTTTATATGCTTACTTTTACACAGGAGCACGTGCAAAAACAGTGTGAAATGCTAAAAATAGATTATTTTCAGATGTTATTGATCTACTCCAAATATGCGCTAAAAAGAACCAAAAATGTCAAATCAAATTCGAAATCAACATGTATTTAATTTATATGACTTGTATCTTTAAAATGAAGGCAAATTCATTGTAATTCATCTCGCATGAAAAATTAAAAAGGAGCACAATGTACTAAGTATCACCCCGTTTTTCTTGTCGTATTTTTTACAATTCCGACATGCATAACAGGTAATATCTTAAAAAGTCTTTGTGTGAAAATGTTGTACTTTATATTTTTTGAAAGAAGTGACCTCTCTCTTTATTTTAACAAAGATAAAAGTATACCTTTAATAATACTTTATGATATAATAAACGAGAAATATGACGTTTTCTTTTATTTTTGTTCTCTTCTGTCATAAATATTTACCTTTCTGCACTAAAAAAAAGGTATGTTAGCACTGATAAACATCTGAATATAAATCTATTTTGCAAAAAACGAGTATTTTGCTTTGATAAGAAATAATTAAAACAAAAAAACTCTTTTCTTTTTCATTCTAATCATTCTCACTACTAAGTCGAAAACGTACTGACATTCCCATTTTTTACTGACAAACTTAGAAAATTACTGACAATGTGCTGTCGTTACTGTAAAACTTAGACAATTACTGACCTTTTTACTGCCGGTACTGATAAACTTAGAAAAGTGCTGACAATCTTAGTCGGTGCTGAAAAATTTAGACAATTACTGACCCGTTTACTGTCCCTGCTGAAAAACTTAGACAAGTGCTGACATTTACTGA